GGGGTCCTCTCCAAGATACGATACTACGTGCCGCAAAATGCCCTTCTCACACTATACCACTCACTTATTTATCCATACCTCACCTATGCTATTTGTGCTTGAGGATCAACTGCAACAACACACCTAAAGCCAATAATAACCCAACAAAAAGCTGCAGTAAGAATAATCACTAAATCCCATCCCTGGCAACACCCCCCCCACTCTTCATAGACCTAAACTTACTCCCTGTTCAGTACATCCACACTTACTACTGTGCAATCTACATCTACAGGGCCTTACACTCTAATATCAACCTTGACCTAAAACGCTTTCTTGATAGTTGTGACAGAACCCACAGGCATATCACCAGACACAAACATCTCTACGACATTCCCCGTGTCCGACTAAACCTTTACAAGAATTCAATGTATGTCAAAGGCCCTAAAATCTGGAATACCCTACCTGAGAACTCTAGAACTGCAGACACATTCATCACCTTCAAAACTACCATTAGAAAACATCTTATCTCCCTGATACACCCCGTCAACTAACTACACGAATACCACCTGGTGGTTCACACTTACACTCACTCACTCATTTGACCATAAACAGAAATATTAATCCCAATCTTAAAATAATGAATCCTGTGATATTCCAATACTGAAACTATGTACTGTGCCAAAACAAAAGCATTCACATTGCTAAACTCACAAACTAGTATTTAGTCACTTACCTCATAATTTGTAATATTTTACAATTAAGAATAAAACTAAGTCTGCCCGAAATGCCTAGCCATGCTAAGCGTTCTAGTGGTACACTCTGTAATCACTATTTTACAACATGTAAACCACACAATAACCAAATTTCTGTAAACTCAGCATTGTAATCCTTATAGAGAATAAACTTTGAATTTGAATTTGAAATTTGAACTTATATAGCAGGTTACGGTCCAGGCTACTACTGACCTCACTTATACAGCAGGTTAGGTTCCAGGCTACTACTGACCCCACTTAAACAGCAGGTTAGGTTCCAGGCTACTACTGGCCCCACTTATACAGCAGGTTAGGTTCCAGGCTACTACTGGCCCCACTTATACAGCAGGTTAAGTTCCAGGCTACTGGCCCCACTTATACAGCAGGTTAGGTTCCAGGCTACTGGCCCCACTTATACAGGGCCTGGGTTCGATTCCCAGCCAGAGTAGAAACATGGGAGGTGTTTCTTTCCAACTGTTGTCTATGTTCCCCATCAGTAAAATGGGTACCTGGGTGTTAGTCGACTGGTGTGGGTCGCATCCTGGGACACTGACCTAATTTGCACGAAATGCGGAGCATAACAAGGGACTTTCTATATAGTAGTATGTCATTGTTGTCAGCTAGGACTGTATACCTTGTACATGTACTTGTAGTAAATAAAGATATTATTATTATTATTATTACTTACACAGCAGGTTAGGTTCCAGGCTACTACTGGCCCCACTTATACAGCTGGTTAGGTTCCAGGCTACTACTGGCCTCGCTTATACAGCAGGTTAGGTTCCAGGCTACTACTGGCCCCACTTACACAGCAGGTTAAGTTCCAGGCTACTACTGACCCCACTTATACAGCAGGTTAGGTTTCAGGCTACTACTGGCCCCACTTATACAGCAGGTTAAGTTCCAGGCTACTACTGACCCCACTTACACAGCATGTTAGGTTCCAGGCTACTACTGGCCCCACTTATACAGCAGGTTAGGTTTCAGGCTACTACTGGCAACACATTGCATAATATGCCCAACATACACCCCGTCCCCCTAGGTTCCACATCTCCTTCCCCCTCCGAATGACGCAGTTCCAATCTCCTCCTATGACAGTGACTAAAGGTAATCCCCTTAAATAGAACATCAAAAAATCTCTCACAAAATTCTCCTTAACTCTTACTGTGCCATCCGCAGGCATATAAATCTCTATAAAACAAACCCTAGTCTCGCCCCACACTCCCTCCACCCTCACCACCCTCCCCCCACCTCTTCCCACCCTAAAATACGTAAGGGACTGGTCTCTTTTACAACCACAACCACTCCACCTTTTAACCTCAAAGATCCACTCACATACAACTTATATCCCTTCAAAAATAATTCACAGCCAACCTTGTAATTGTGCTCTTGTATGAAACAAACATCTATATCAAATCTCCTCAGGAACCATTCCACCCACACTCTTTACCTCAGCCCTCAGGCCATTTACATTAATCGTTACAACCTTGAATTATTGCAGTAAAGGCGGCTTTCCCCTCCGCCTTGGAAGGTTGCCTGCTAGACTAGGCTGCTTTCTAGATCCACGTTTGGCACACTGCTTGACCAAACCCCCAACCCCCCCCTTGTCCTTTGAGTTTTTCATCACCTAATTACCGTTACCCCCACTCTCCGGGAGGTCCAACTCATTCTTCCAAGACTTCTTCCCGGGTCTCTGCCCGGGAGTTAAGACGTCGTTCATTTCCGACGTCCCAGCCGTTCTCTTGCATGAACCTCCATCTCCTCACGTGGCTTCATCTTCCATGCCATCTCTATGCACCTCAGCCACAACCGTGTGCACCTTGCCCTCATTACACAAGGTCTCCTCATGCACCAAAGCATCAGTTGTTGTCTCCAACGTTCGTCCACTCTGCACATCATCCAGACTGCCCTCCACCTCACTCAGAAAGGTGTTTAAGACCTCATCCAGCAATCCATCCTTTTGCAATACACACTTGCCATCATTCCTCACCGTCGTCGTCTGTTCTGGCTCCGTCCCTACCGGTAACGTTGCACATGCCTCCATCTCCGTCTCTGCTCTGTCTACTTCCTCACTCCAACTTCCCGATGTCTGTCTTTCGTCCGCACCAGTCTCCAGCGCCACTGGACCCAGCTGCTGATCTACTGGTGTTGGCATCTGTTCCCTCCGTCCTGTATTCCTATGGCATTGGGCCGCCATATGGTCAAATGACCCGCACAGCCTGCATGTCTTTCTTTGTCCCGCATAATATACATAGACCTGTGTTCCGAATTTTTCCAGTAGAACATACGAAGGTATCGGTTCTCGCAATGTCATTTTCAGTGTGAATGATCCTTCTGGCAGCCCCACATAAGGCCCATCCTTCCACACTCCCAATTCTGCTGTGTGTATCTTTCCATATCTACGGAAGACCGCCACCACATCTTACTCCATGGCTTCAAAGGGAACATTCCTTATTTTAACCCATGTCACATAGCTGGATACATCATGAGGGCATACCTCCACTGCAGTTTCACGGCCATCCTCTTCTCTTGATATGTGTCAACGAATCTTGAGTAGAAACCAGCATTTACGAATTTGATGAAGATTCTCGTTACTCCATTTACTGCCACGCCATACAGCTCTTCATTTGGTATTCCATACACTTCACGGATGATAGTAGGGAGAATCACCTGCATCAATGAACTGTTAAGTGTACCACGGACCAACTCCACACAGACCGTATTTACACGACGTCTGTGTCTGTCCGCCATTTTTGATTACTGTGATTCACCACCTGCCACCAGGGGCCAGCGAAGGCAAGCTCAGAAAGCGTCCTCTCACCACGGAGGTCGAGAGACGAATGTTAGTGCAGGAGTGTGTGTGTTGTGATGTTCAAGGTTCTTGAAGACTTGTTGTTGCTGGCGAAGCTTGCCAGCTGCTTCACCTTGCACTTGATCTTGTGATGTTACCTTTGATATACCTTTGTTGGCTTCTTTCCTTAATAAAACCTGTGAAACCAGCTTCTGCTAGTTTAAACTTCATCTTCATCAGCTCCCACACTCTCAGCCATCATAGAATTAAAGAGACTTAGGGCCTTGGCCTAGAAAATGGCTTGTCTTAAAGGTATGTTGTGACTGGTTTCATCTTCAGTCTATACAAGTAAAAGTTTTTCCATGTCAGCAATAAGGTTGTCATTTTTTTTGTAGGTGGCCTGGTGGCTAAAGCTCTCGCTTCACACACGGAGGGCCCGGGTTCGATTCCCGGCGGGTGGAAACATTTCGACACGTTTCCTTACACCTGTTGTCCTGTTCACCTAGCAGCAAATAGGTACCTGGGTGTTAGTCGACTGGTGTGGGTCGCATCCTGGGGGACAAGATTAAGGACCACAATGGAAATAAGTTAGACAGTCCTCGATGACGCACTGACTTTCTTGGGTTATCCTGGGTGGCTAACCCTCCGGGGTTAAAAATCCGAACGAAATCTTATCTTATCTTATCTTATCTTCACAATTGTACTGAATGTTTAACGAGCTAAACCTAGTTTGTCATGTTTCTGACATAGACATAACTTGGCACTTACACTAGAGGCTTATGACTTATCATATTATCACAACTACCATTAGATTTTATTGTAATTAACATAAGAATAGTTTGTAAAATATACATAATAACATTAAAACGTTTGAAACTTGTAAAGTTTCCAGACAGAATGAAGAAAATGGCACGTGGACGCCCAGCTGCTGAATACTTCATGCATAAAAATTGCCAGAATAGCGAAGCAAGTGCCTAATAATTGAAGAATTGAAGACTGGGTATATATGAAAGCCACCATAAAGCGGCCCGCCTGTATTTTAACGCAAACGGAAGATGAGAGATTAGCTGTTCCTATCATATACTTACTAAGAGAGGATTGTTTTTATACTGCACAAACCCACTGTACAGACATTCTCTCATGTGTAGGCCAAAATTTACTGCTCACAGCATATTTGAGGGTGCTATGATTAAGACTTAGGTCTAGGTCTGATATTGATCCCATTGACGTAGGTCTTTGTGAGTGAGTTAGTTAGTTTACTTTAATATGTTTATTATGCACCCCATACCCATCCTGTGGGCGGTAGTCAAAAGATTACAGAGGTACATAATTGGTCCAGGGACTGGACTCCAAAGTTTTGATAGCTGAGCAAGTTACAGAGGTAATGAATTCACAATTTACAAAGGTAATGAACTCCAGGTAGGGTGAGTGTGAAAGGATTAATACTTCAGTATAATTAAAATATTTTTTTTACACAGACAACATCACGTCCAGTTCCACTGACAATCAACCACAGGCAACATCACGTCCAGTTCCACTGACAATCAACCACAGGCAACATCACGTCCAGTTCCACTGACAATCAGCCACAGACAACATCACGTCCAGTTCCACTGACAATCAGCCACAGGCAACATCACGTCCAGTTCCACTGACAATCAACCACAGGCAACATCACGTCCAGTTCCACTGACAATCAGCCACAGGCAACATCCCATCATTTTACTATTTGACACCAACAACAGGCGACATCACTCCTGTCCTACTGTTGACCACTGAAGAAATTCAAATACCACTCACAGGACATTAATGATGGTAAGGACAAATCTTGTGTACTCAGTGTGGTGTTTTCATCTAGTTGTATTTTGGGACTTCACCTCTGAACATAGATTATCGAGTAAATTAATCATTTATTTGTTAGGCTATTGTCAAAAATAATTAGTTTGCATAACCTGGTTTATTTGAAGTTACTTTCATTTGTGTTTCCTCATTAATTTTGTTGCAGTGTTGAAGAATATTGCATGAGGGAAATAGCACCAGGAAATACTGTAGGTTAACAGGCACATACCAGAGAATACGTGAAAATTGTACCAGGAAGTACTCGAGCTTAACAGACACATACCAGGGAACACTGGGAAATAGTACCACAGTTACCAACTCTAGATTATGCTGCAGCTCTCTACATGAACTTTAGATTATGCCACAGTTCTCTTCACCAACTCTAGTTTATGCCACAGCTCTCTACACCAACTCTAGGTTATTCCACCGCTCTATACACCAACTCTAGATTATGGCATAGCTCTTTACACCAACTCTAGATTATGCCACCGCTCTCTTCACCAACTCTAGATTATGGCATTGCTCTCTACACCAATTCTAGATTATGCCACAGCTTCTAAACCAACTCTAGTTTATGCCACCACACTTTTCAACAACTCTAGATTATGCCAATGCTCTCTACACCAATTCTAGATTATGCCACAGCTTCTACACAAACCCTAGTTTATGATACCTCTCTCAACACCAACTCCAGATTATGCCACAGCTCCCTCCACCAACTCTAGATTATGCCACCGGTCTCTACACCGACTCTATATTATGCAACAGCTCTCTACACCAACTCTAGATTATGCCACCGATCTCTACACCATCTCTAGGTTATGCCATCACTCTCTACACCAATTCTAGATTATGCCACAACTTTTACACCAACTCTAGTTTATGATACCGCTCTCTTCACCAATTCTAGAATATGCCAGAGCTCTCTACACCAATTCTAGTTTATGCCACAGCTCTCTCCACAAACTCTAGATTATGCCACCGTTCTCTACATCAACTCTAGATTATGCCACAGCTCTCTACACCAACTCTAGATTATGCCACCGTGTCGTGGGGGTTCGAAAGAAGATATGATGGTTGATGATAAACACACTTGTGGATGGTAACGCTATATATTGTCAGACTGTGGTAAGGGAAGGGCCCAGCCTGCCTGTTACTGCCTGGTGTAGGTCTCCGCGTGGACTGAGAGGGAGATAGCCCGTCCCATTCACTCATGCCGCATCCCGTGATGTCATACAGTCACTAGGTCTAGTAGGGATCTTCTGTATAAACACATGGATGGTACTATGATACTCAGCTAAGCTATACAACACATGTAAGGGGATCAGCAACTATGCTGACAGCTTGGTCATGTTACGTATGTCGTCTCGACACACACTACTATGCTATAGGCTGAACAGGCAGGTGGTTCTGGGCTGATTCTATACATTAACAAAGACATATATAACTTAGAACTAATGGATGGCATCATAATGGATGTTAACATAATGAGTTTTAAAGCAATGGATGTTAACGTAATAAGTTAAAGTTTTAACGTAATGCATTATGACTTATAAGAACAAATCATGGTATAATATAGGATGGAATTGATTGATCGTTCTGTATTCATGCACTCTACGGATTCTGAGGAAGAATAAATATATATACATGTGAAAATTAACAGCAAAGGCAAATCTGGTGTACACAGATCATTACTGTTAAATTCTCAGAATTCGGAGGGAACGTGAACACGAAAAAAAAATTTCTGAAAAGCTGATCAGTTAATAACAAAACACACAGTTGACAATTTCATTCATCATGTCATTTGAAAACAGGTGAATTTGTAAATGAAGTGATAAGCCTATAGAGGCAGGTGCCAGAAGTCGCCAGAAACTTACCACAGGTCAGCTGTTTTTAATAATCTTCCTGGCCTGCTAGTGTACTCGCATATAATCTAGTGATACCAGTGAATAGCAGAATACAGTGTTGTAGTAGCAACTAACCAGTATTATAATGGTACTTAGTGGAGTGGAGTGACTTTCATTAGTTCCTTTTTCTTGAAATACCAGACGTTACTGTAATTTCATATAACCGTAGTTACCAGGGGTCGCAATAACACAACGAGAAAAATTTATTACTACAGAAAAGCGCCCTTCCCCCAAAATTTGCACCAGTCAATAAGTGAAAATATAGCTTTTTATTGTGGTGGAGACGGAAAAAAAAAAAAAAGAGAACTAGATACACGTTTGAAAACAAGGGTGGAGCTCGACCGTTCATCTTGTAAAAGTCCCAGCAGTCACCGCCTTCAACACGCAAGTTTACTTTTGTATCATAAAATCACTATTACTGGGGGTAAAAAAATTTTTCCATAGCCCTTCTGGTTAGCCAAATCCCGACCTTGGTTTAAAAAAGTGACCCAGATCAATCAGATAGATGGCCCAAAACCCTTGACTGGTCCAAACCCCTTGAGGGGTCCGAACCCCTTGCTGGTCCGAACCCTTGACGGTCCGAACCCGGGATGGTTTCAAAGGGGTTTCGTTGTGCACCCCCTGCGGGTTATTAATAGAATATTCAAGAGGTTGCTAGTAAAATTTGCAGTAAATCAACCATTCAAATCATTATGAACGTGTGTAGTCTGTGGTCAGTCAAACAAACGGGCTTCCACATGCTAAATTGTCATTTCTGTGAAATTTGGTTCACGCCCCCTTGTGCTGTACCAAAGAAATTTACAAGCAGTATTAAAACGGGGAAGTTTTTTGGGTATCCCCAAATGAGATAAATCTGGGGACTAAAATCAAAGGGGTATTAAAAGGGTCAACACAAAGCTGCTTTCATAGAAAACCGGGAAAAGCTTTCTACAACAGATGGGAACAAAAAAAGCCCCGGGCTGAATGGTCTCCCCTTGATACTGGCCATGTATCAAAAACTTAAGGGGGGAATGATGTCCGGGTCATAAATGGGGGGCTGATAGTGCTGTCCTGGGAGACAGAATGGGGAAGCTGGGGGTGCTCCCCTGGGAGACATAATGGTGAAGTGGAGGTGCTGCCCGGGGAACGTAATGGTGAAGCGGGATGCTGCCCTGGGAGCAGTAAGGGGGAAAAGCGGAGATGCTGTCCCGGGAGACAGTAAGGTGAAGCTGGAGATTTTGTCCAGGTAGTGGGGAAATTTATACGCGGGAAAGGGAAAATACATAAAAATACCCCATGGGGGGCGGGAGCCATTAGGGAAAAAAGTGTAGTCAAAATAAGATAAAACCAATATTGCAAACAAAATACCGCAGGAAATAGCAAACAAGAGGGCCCACTAGCAATAGTAGGATATATTACCAAAAACCAAATGGTGGGGGCTCCATTGTTGGTGCAGGGAGGATAGAATAAGACAGGGAAAAAATGCACCAACAGGGAATACATACAGAAACCCAAGGCAAACGGAACCAAGCCTGTGCACTTATCACCGGGATCTGCTGGATGGGGAAAACGGAAAAAAAAGAGGGACGTGCAACTATGCCACCCTAGGAAATGCCATGCCCATAACAACAAAAAAGCAAACTCCCCCCTTTAACTTTTTCACCCCGAACTGTTTACCCCTTCGTACAGGAAAGACTTGCATAACTTAAAAAAGCCCGGCATACCATCTAAAGGGGCAAAAAGATACAAAACATCCAGGCCATGGGAAAACCCGGGTAGCCACGCCACTCAAGGGAGAGGTTTTTTTGTGCCAGGGAAAGGAAAAAAAACTGGAGGAAAAGGCAGAAATCGTACACCAAATCCAGTCATTCCTGGAGTGGAACCACAGTCGATGGGCCTCCACCCAAACCAAAAAGAAACAGATACTAATGCCGGAAAAAAAATCCCCCCCCAGTACCAAAAGTACCCCCGTCCGATAAATTCTTTTTCAAATATACGGGGTTAAAACCCCGCAACAAAAAAAAAAATCCCTTTTATCCGTGGAGCTTGCAGGGCAAGGCAATGTTCGGGGTTTCATGAGCCCCACATAAAGGTCACTTGGACAACAAAAATATGGACCCGGTTACAACCTATACGATGTGACAGAGTGAACAGGCAAAAGGAGGGGGGTTGGCCGTCTTGCAGAGTCATTGTTTGCACAGAACTGCAAATGCCCTCAATGATGTAGTGGAAGTTTTAGCATAAAGGTCGAGAACCAAAACCTAGTCAGTGATAGTCTACAAGCCCGGATGAAAACCCCAGAAATTCCAGGAACGCTTTAAAAATTGACCACTGTCGGGAAAAAACCTTCCAGCCCCGCACCCAACATCTGCTCCGGGGGATTTCAATTTAAAGGCCCCCTAAAGGGGAGGAATTAGCAAATAATATTTGTTGCAGTAAAACCCCAGAGCAGCTCTGAGAAAACTCACACTCAGCGAGCTTTTAAATCTCGCACAAAATTAAATTTTAAAAACCAGCAAAAAAATAGGCCTATTAGGGGGGGAATACACTAGACCTCATTTTTCACAAAACAAGATGATCTAAAAGAATATACATATAAAAAAAAATAATCAGTCACAAAATAATGGGTTAGTCTTATCCCGGGGGCCCCCAACCGACATATGGTTAGTAGGGGGGCATTCACCAAATTCAACTTCAATAACAAAAACATAAGTGGGCCCAAGAAAACCCAAAGTCCAAAAACCGATATAAGTGGGAAGATTAAAACAACACAGACCCCAATTTGCTGAACAGATTAACTCGGTGGCATCGTTATGCAAAAGGCTTATTCCCTAAGAAAAAGGGGGAGTAGATGAAAACGAAAGAGAAGGCGCTCCCTTTCGGCGACGGAAAAAGAATAACAGAGCGGTAAAAGAGGTAAATTTAAATTAAAATGCGTAGGGAGACGGTCAGAGAAATAGCAAGCATCGAACTTAAGTTTAAAAAAAACCCTTTAGGAGTAGGAATCGTGGGGAACTAAAAGCCATAAATGAAATCGAAAAAAACCCCAAAGTATTTTTCTCCTATGCCAAATCAAAATCGAGAACAACG